TGCTCCAGGATGCTCCAGGATGCTCCAGGATGCTCCAGGATGTTGGGGGGCCTGGCATTGTCACAAAGCTCTCAGACATCTCTGATGAGAGAGTGACTGAAAAAGGAAGGAAGAGAGTGAGGAGGGAGGCGAGGAAGAACAAAAGGGAAGGGAAGAAGAGGCGGTCTCGGGTAGGATAGAGAGAGCACTCAACGTGCTTCGGCCTCTGCCGTAACTTTTCTACGGAAAATGGAAACCAAAGACCATTGCCACGGCAGATTTGATCGGAGATGGTATTGCTGGAGTCCCCTGGTGAGGTGGCAGTTTTGTGGAATTTCCCTGGGCAGTAAGAAGCCGAAGTTGCTTTTGACAGATGGTGCAACTTAATCCCAGGCACTACTGCTATGTTTAATTTGCTATGGTAACAAAAACTATGTGGCAGAAATACTTACATCACTGGTCTATAATTACTATCTTTTCTTGTCTAAGGATAATTTGTGGGTCTTGGAAGGAAAGTCAGGGTTTTGTGTTTTTTATTAATGACAAAAAATAACAAATGCCCATTATTTTTGAATAATGAGAAAATATTAACAGATATTCACAAGGAAGTAACGATTACCAATTCAGATATAATGGTTATTACTATTTTGTGTTCAGATTTTTAAAATACAAACAGAAAAAAATCATACTCACGCCATTGTAGGTTATGTGCATTCCATTACAATACCTCTGTCCATCTTTTAAAATTATTGCATAATCCTTCCATTTTCCTTTGACAATATTTAAGCTTGCCAGTGTCCAGTTACAATAAATTACATATTAAAGAATATTCTTGCAGGGCAGTGGTGGCCCACGCCTTTAATCCCAGCTCTCAGGAGGCAGAGGCAGGCGGGTCTCTGTGAGTTCGAGGCCAGCCTGGTCTACAGAGCAAGTTCCAGGACAGGCTCTAAAGCTACACAGAGAAAAAAACAAACAATCAAAAATAAAGAATATTAGCCGGGTGGTGGTGGCGCACACCTTTAATCCCAGCACTCGGGAGGCATAGCCAGGTGGATCTCTGTGAGTTCGAGGCCAGCCTGGGCTACCAAGTGAGTTCCAGGAAAGGCGCAAAGCTACACAGAGAAACCCTGTCTCGAAAAACCAAAAAAAATAAAAATAAAAAAAATAAAGAATATTCTTATGGGGTGACATGAAATGGCTTAGCAGGTGTTCAGAGGGCACTTGCCAACAAACTTGACAACTTGAGTCCAATCCTGGGACCCACATGGCAGAAGAAGAGAATGGACTCCTGCAGTTGTACACTGACCTACACACACACACACACACACAAATAAATAAATAAATAAGTAAACAAATGTTAGAAATTTTTAAAGAATCATCTTGTCTGGATTTTTTTGTTTTTACATTTATCCTGCTGTTTCCCTGGAATAAATCTTAGGTGTGAACATTTCTATGTGATTCTTCTTCACATTTTAAAAAGTGATTTCAGTTTGTTAAACTGCCCTCCAGAAACTTGAACTCATTTCACACCCCTTTGCAAGTATGTCCACAGTGCTCCTATTATCTCACTCCTCACAACACTAGTTATTGTTGTTTTCAAATGCTTTCAGTTTTATGAGTTAAAAAGTATTTTCGTTTGTACTTTGATGGGCACTTCATTTATTACTAGTAAAGTGCAGGATTTTTTATGTTTTTTGTTGATTTATGCTTTACCTTTTTATAATTTGATTGTTTGAACTGTATCTTGCCTTACCCCAGATTTCTAAGAGATCCTCATAATTTAGAATTATTTACCATTCACTGTCCACCCAGCTTGAAGAGCCTTATTCCACAGACCACTCAAGTGCTCAGAATAATGGTTGGTGCTTTTAGTTGAAAGAACAAAGTCAATTTACTTTGTAGATTTGGCAGAGGAGAGAATGTTTCCCCTGGGTCATAGCGTTTCAGATGTGCAAAGACCTGGAACACCTTCCACCCAATCCCCCATTTTAATGGGTGAATAATGTTAGGATGCGGACTTGTTTATAGTTGAGAATACTTTCCAAGCAGAATGGAGACAAGAACCAAGAGCGGACCCAAAGTTGGCGTATAGAGTTGAGGCAAGAGCCCAGGTATGGCCTTTTAAAAAGAAGAGAGAGCTACAGTAGGCATCTCCCAAAGACAGCAAAAGCAGAATAACCCTGGAACGATCTTCCAATAATCAAAATCTAAACCTTTGGGAGGAAATAAGCTTTCTGAACCCTAACCAGTTTGAGAGGAAAGCACAAAGTGGAGACATCGCAGATCCCCTGTGTAGTAATCGCACAGATCCACAGAAGGGAACACCAGCGGCAATCTACTCAGCCTTGAGCCTTAGACGAGAAGTTCAGACATTTCTCAGCATGGCTTCTCTCATCCTAACCGACTTATAAAGGTCATGTGGGTGGGAAATCAGTAAGCATTGCTGGGACAAGAAACACAACACGTGACTGAGAGCTCAGAGTGAGAAACCCTTCCATAGCCAAGGCCTTGTCGGAGGCACTGATGGTCTGAGGAGGCTTGGGAATGTGTTTTCTGTACTGAGGAAACTCTCCAACTATGATCATTAAAATCCACAAATTTGCATAATTAGAGTAGTGATTTTTAAATATGTGAATGTATTGAACTTAGTAAGATTAAGAAAAAAAAAGCCATCCATCCATCTACCACCCTCTCAACTTATGGAAACCTCTCCCCAGTAAATCATCTTCTCGTAAGGGCACTGAAGTGTAAAACGTTGTTTAGTTCCTAAAATGATTTTATACTTAAATATATTTTAATAGGAAATACAGTTAACTAGTTCAAAACTCAAAACGCACCAAAATATGGATGGTAAAGAATTTCCCTCTCCTGGTCTCAAAAAAAAAAAAAAAAAAAAAAAAGCCAAGTTCTGCTTTCCCATACACTCGTCTAGCTTATTATATATATAATATATATATATATATATTCGGCTACATAAAGACATGATACATACTTTTATCAAGTATTGTATACAAAGCATACTAAAACGACGTTCTGTACTTGGACACTTTTACTTAACAATACGTCTTGAAGGTACTCTAGACCCATTCAGAAAGATCTGATTCTTCATTGTGACACCCTTGCCTTCTATCACACGAATGAAGAATATTTTACTTAACCATTTTCCCTGTACTTGTTTGTGTTATTTCCAATTTTGCTTTTACAGTGATGCTATAATTGAGATGTTTTCACATACCAAGGATACAAGAACATAAGCGCTTGTAATTTTGACAGAAGTTGCTCCTCTCCCCACTTAGAGACTACCAAGTTCATGCCCTCCCAGAGATGTAGGGCATGCCTGCTCCCTCACACCTTTGCTGTTAGAGTGTTGCCAGCCTTCAAAACCCTTTACTAACATGACAGGTGAGTGGTGTCATCTCAGCAGGGTTTTATCTGTATTTCTCACGAATGACATTGAAAACCCTTTCATTGTATTTCTGACTTATAAATTCTCACCCCTTTAGTCCTCTTCATCTCCAATGCCGTTGGTCTTTTTCACGTGATTGGTAAGTGGTGTTCATGTATACCGAAGGGCCATTGGCTACGTCACCTGTGATCGTCACTGCACATATTTTCCCCATTTGATGTCTTTTACCCTTACTATTGGTGTTTCCAAGATGTTTTATTTCATTTTTAGTTTATAAATTATTTCGACAAGGACTTTCCAATTCTAAGACAATAGAAGACAGATAAAGCCGAAGGAAGATAGAAATGGAGGGTGTACCCTCTCTGAAAGGCGATTGCATCCAAAGTCTCCACAGTTTAGTAGATGCTCCATGTCTGGCATGCAGTTAAAATGTGTTGGGGACACCACAAGTCAGGCTCACGTGATTGCCCAAAGGGAAAAGAGTAGAAACGAAGAGATGCTGACATTGGGACAAACAGACAGCAACTGGTGCATGTTGGAGAAGAAAGCGTACACACTGGAATCAGTCACCAGTCGCCATCTCTCCCAGGAAGCTAGCTCCCTTCCATGACCACCACCACCACCCCTTTGAAGCAAACATTTCTCCTCTGGGTAATCCTGACAGTTTACCTGCCTGGCTTGCTCTACCTACCACCATAGAACTAGTACTTCGTGGTTCAAAGCATGGAGATTGTGAAATCACGTCGCAATCAAGTTCAAGACCAACCACTTGTTAATTGTGTGATCCTGAGAGAGCTACTTAGCTTATTTGCACATGCCTGTTTCCCTGCCTATAAAATGGAGTTATGAAGATAATTAATTGGGAGGTAATTAGGCTGACCCAACTCCAGCACCTTGAGTTCTTATGTAAGCCTGTGTAACTTAAGTGTAACTAACTTTGCCTGGGACTTTTCGCTGGAATGATCTGAATCTGGCTATTGCTCTACCCCTTAAGAACCCATCTGTTTTTTATTGTATGCATTGTACACATGTGAGTATTTAGCCTCTGTGTGTGTTATGTGCATCATGTGCATGCAGTGCCCTCAGCGCCCAGAAGAGGGTACCAGATCCCCCAGGACTGGAGCTGTAGACCACTGTTAGACACTAGATAGGACAGGGAACCAAACCAGAGTGCTCTGCAAGACCGTCAAGTGCTCTTACCCACTGAGCCATCCCTCCAGCCCCTACTGCTCTACTTTAAATATTTTCTTTGCTCTACTTCCACATTCACCCTCTTTAAAAGCTTTCTCCTTGTGTGTCACTGGTGGAGCCCCAAACTGGTCCTGGAATTGCTCAATTCTCAAGTCTGTCTAACCAAACACATTCTGTGAAATGAGCTTTAATATGCCTAACTTTATCTTCTAACTGCCTCTAATGGTAATTTCCTCAGAAGATATTTTTGAGGAACCCAAATATATTCATACTAATTCAATTGCAATGACAATATATTTAATTTGTTCTTGATTTCTCTAAAAATTCTATTTTCTGAGTATTGTAGAAAGAACACTATTTTGGGGGTCCAGTATACCCACTTTATACCCATTTAGTACCATAAATATTCATTTAGGGAGATAAGTTCTTTTAAGAAAGTTCTTAAGATGTTAAGATGTTTAATTCTTTAAAATTTTTCTATTTTATGGATATCGGGATTCTGCTTGCACACACACACACTATATATATATATATATATATATATATATATATATATATATATATATATATATACCATATATGTGCCTGGTGCAAGAGGATGTTGGATCCCTTGCAGCTGGAGTTACAGACAGCCGTGAGCCACTGTGTGGGTGCTGAGAACCTGGGAATTGGAGCCAGGTCCTCTGAAAGAACAGCCAGCGCTCTTAACCACCCACCAACTCTCCAGTCCGAGGTGTTCAATTCTTTAAAATGACATGTCTTGGTTTCTTCCAGAGCATTTGCCTACACAAGAAAAAAAAAATCAATGACATCATGACAACACAGAAGAGATCGGAGACCTTATACCAGAGCCCCCATGGCCTGTCTGCCCCGTGCTGTGTGGTAGCTACACACATCTGGTCTTTGGTTGTAACCATCTGGCTGTTGGAGCTCAGTGGGTGGGTCTCCTGCGTTCCAGAGCTCAAGCCATTTGCCTCTAACTCCGTAGACTTCTTCCCTGTTTGTAACAAGTTCAGGCTTCTGTCACACTCCGCGGTGTCCTTACTGCTTCCTGGAATGTGCAAGAATTATCAATGTGTCAGCGCAAGTGCCCTCTTTAGATACTCCCCCAATTCCTGTTCCTGTCCTTTGTAATACTTTCTTGAATTGGAAACTATATTTTTGTGGGGGTATTTACTTAATGTCTTCTACTATGTCTTTGTGGGGGGAGCTCTGTCCAGTTTTGATTATCATTGTATCTTCAGTGACTAAACTAAACAAATGCCCCTAAATACCTAAACTAAACTAAATGCCCCTAAACAAATAAGTAAGAAACCTGTAGTTCCAGGGCCCTACAACATAAGAACATAGTTGATCTTGACTCAAACTTTCCCATTTATACCAAGAGCCTTGGTTAGTTTTCTGTTCAGTGCCATTCTGTGTGCCCTTTGCTATAAGAACACGGATTTTGTTGTTGTTGTTGTTGTTGCTGCTCAGGTGGAAAAATATTCAGCCCAGGGATAGAATCACACATCAGTGTAAACCAATCATGGCGTTCCCATCCACTTCACCAGCAAGGCGTCACTGTTATGCCGCATCGTTCTGGCTAATGAGTTAGGAAGCGATGTCTTCCGGGAGGATTTGGAAAACTTTGTGAGAGACAGAAATAAAAAGAGAGTATTCCTTTGCACTGTCTACCTTGGCCCTTCGCTCTTTCAGTGTGATTTGAATGTGAACATTCAGAGCCACACGATCATCTAGCCACCATCTCCAAAAGACTGAAGAAATGCCCAGATGATCCCGGTGACCCGATACCCCGGTCCTGGACTGGCAGCATACTTCTTGTGTGAAGTCAACATTGTCTTTCCTACTTAAGCTACTGTTACTTCAGTTTCCAGTTGCTAGGAGGTATTTTCTTCTTTAACTGACTCCCTTTAGCATTAATGCAATTCTGTACGCATTCATTGACCAAATAAAGCTGGGTCAGCATTTTAGCAGTTCTGTTTTTGTTTGTTTGTTTGTTTTTGTTTTTTTACCCTGTCACTCTTGGACATAGACTCCAACCTGGGATAAATGTCAGATCCAGCTTTATGTGTCATTTCTGAAGCACCCAGAACAGAGGATCCAAGTGGCCACAGTTAGGATGAGGTAGAACTGGCTGGAGGTTGTAGGGTGGGAAGACGGGATCCAAAATGTTGAGCAGGGAAGGCTGAAGCCGGAAAAGCAAAGGGAAACCAAGGGACCATGGACATCAAAGGGTGTGCACATGTGTGAGATTGGTAGTGTTCTCCTCACTTGCACAAAGCTCTGGGCTCAGTCCCCAGCACCTCATAAACTGAGTGTGGTGGCACACGCTGTAACCCCAGCACTCAGGATCTGAAGTTCAAGGTCATCCTCGGGCACACAGCAAGCTCGAGGCCAACTTGGGATACAAAATGGTTAATCAATTAATTAACTACTTTTTAACTGTCAAGGAGAAGATAAGACCAGTGTGGAGGGAAAAGTTCAGCAAATAGTCAACAATGGGGGCACCCAAAGGAATTGGGAAAGGGACTGTTAAGCTTCTTAATTAGCTAGAAAATAAGCTAATAAAGACATACAGGGGTTTTTTTGTAGAAATTTTTATAGTAATAGATATGAACAAAGACCTGAATATGGAGTGATGTGGGGTAATTTAGTATTATAAGAATATCTCTTCCTAACAAGATAGGAAGCATATACCTGAAATCTCAGCCCATGGAAGCCAGAGGCAGAAAGACTGAGGTTAGCCTGAACTCCGAAGTGAGTTTGAGGCCAGCCTAACTATGCAGCATGACCATGTCTTAAAAGAAAAGCAGAGTATCAGGGTTTTTTTTTCCCCCAAACTAAATTACTAACCCTAGGCAATTCCTGTAAAAAATACTCCTGCACACTGTAGGAATTTGATGAAGTAATTTTGAAGTTTATATAGAAGAATTAACATTCAGAAGCAGCTCACAAGGTAGCCTGACTTAACAGATATTAAGGGGAATCACAAAGTGATAGTTTTTAAAGTTTAAAAAAAATAAAAAGATAAAAAGAATGGAGAATCAGGACATGAGGCCAGCTATCCACAGGAACTTGGCTTGTGGTAGAAAGTGAGACAAATCTCTCTCTGGAGACCATAGATGAATTTGTTACCAGTGTGGGGTGATTCAGCCATCCCTAGACCACCCAAAAGAAACACCAAAAGATGAAAGACATGAATGTCAAGGGTCAAGTTCTGTGGTAAGGGGGGGAAATGTGAGACTATCCCTGTGGTTGGAAGTGGAGACATTTTGTAAAGAAAATGCAAGAGAGAAGAACTATAAGGAAATGAAAATCTGATAGGATTGTCCACAAACTAACATTAAAGAGTTACTCCAAGCCAGATGTGGTGGCGCATGCCTTTAATCCTAGCACCCCAGAGACAGAGACAGGCAAATTACTGGTGAGCCAGCCTGGCCTACAGAGCCAGTTCTGGGACAACCAGGGATACATAGTGAGACCCTGTTTTGGAAATAAAACAAACAAACAAATGCAAACATCCTTGCACATGAATATACCCACAGGGGTTGTGAAAATTTTTTTCAACAAAAAGACCATAAACAAAGCTGGCAGGTAAATGGTTGGCTGGAAGATGCTGTGCAGTATTCCTAGCACCCAGAAAATGCTAACTGGAGAGTCAGCAGGAGAAAATCACAATAAAAACACAGCAAAGATGAAATGTCAGTGGTGCACACTGCTGGAGCCATTCTGTGCAGTGGCCAGTCAGCTCAGAAAACAAAACCCAGGGAACACTAGCATGTAGATCATAAGGATCTATGAGAAGGGCATTCACCATCTGTGAGTGTGAGTGTGTGTGAAAATATGAATCTGATTGAGTATGAGTGTGAAAATATGAGTGTGAGTGTTTATGTGACTGTGCGTGAGTGTGTGTGAAAATGTGAGTGTGAGCATGTGCTTGTGAATGTATGTGTGTGTCCCTGTTTGCAAGCACTTGGAAACAACGTGGCATTTGCTAATAAAGCAATGGCTTGATTAAGCATAAAAAAGGATGAATCACTACAAACTGCACTAAAACCTACAAAGGCTAATGAGATTTACCTATAATAACAGGGAAGGTTTGCCAAAGCTTAATTTATATTACATACATATATGTATATATACATGCATAATTTATGTTATTAACTTTATTTATTTATTGCAGGGAGGGGGCACATGCCACAGTGCCCCTGGTGCTAACAGCAGACAGCTTGCAGGAGTCAGTTCTCTCCTTCTACCATGTAGGTCCTGGGGATGAAACTCACATTGCCAGGCTTGGTAGTGAGTGCTTTACCACTGAGCCATCTCGCTGGCTCCACAGCTTAATAATTCAGCAGTGGCAGTAGCAAAAAAAACCCGGGCAATAGGCTCTACTCCAGACTCCTAAGGGCTAAAAAAACAACTTATAAATACGTAGGTCCAGGGGCCAAAGAACTCTTGCGCGTCTCAAACTTTAACATGCATGAGGATCAATTCAAGATACTGTTGAAAGAAACAAACCAACCCAGTGAGTCCCTTACCCAGAGATTCTGAACCGACTATTTAAGCATACACCAGAGGTGCTTTCTCCCATACGTGAACCATGAATCGTACTTGAAGACACTTTAAACTAAGTAAAATCGGGAGAATGGTGACGTATGAGTGGCAGGGTGGTGGCCGCAGGGCATTCGCATAGCATCAGCAGCAAAGACAAGATTCATGAGCAGCTGGCCCTGTCAGCACTGACTCCTCTCTTCCAGCACTTTTCCTGAGCCAATCTCAGTGGGCTCAGCCCAAAGGGTTTGGATGATAGAAACTGACAATTGCCATCTGGGGAATATAGTCATGGACAAGAAGCCACTGGAGGCATCTTCTTCCCAAGGCTGCTACTGGATGTGGTGCCTCCAGGGGTCCTAAGCACAGCCGTGCTTAGCCTGACTCATAAGCATCTCTCGGTTGGGCTGCAGTTCAGGGGATGGTGGGCTGTGAAAAGACACACGAGAGATAGCTAGAGCCAGATGCCGGTGCTTGAGCCTGGATTGATAAAAAGAAGAATGGCTGGGCCATCGCTCAGCAGATCAAATAGTCTCTTTCAGGTACAGATGGTCTGAGCAATCGAATTCTGTCATCCCTCCAGCATCTGCTCTGCCCTTGTCTCTTTGGTCTCTGTTTCTGCTCCATGCCTCAACAGCTGGGCTGTTTAGTGGCATATTGGGCACCATGTGGTGGGGCATCTTAATAGCGACTGCTGTGACAGTGTACAGATGGGATGTGGTCTTAGGCTCGCCTTTAGGGATGTCTGATGGCACGCTCAGGTCTGCATCTCCAGCCGCATAAATCTACCTCCGTGTGAACTGAATACAACCACCTCAGTCAGAAGTAGACTGGGCCGCTTCTACCATTATTTATCCAGGCACTGTTCCCCGAACAGCCCAGAGTACCGATGGGAGGTTGGACTCACTGTCCCCTTCCTAGTGTGCAGAATGGCCTGGTTTCCTAAGGACAAGGAAAGTTTTTCTCTCAGATTTATACAAACAGACCAGGCATATTTGTGGGTAACCAGGTAACAAGCCCAGTTTGAAACTCCTTTGGACAGCGTAATTCATAGCTCCAGACAGAAATGCTAATATGAGCACAGACGCTCTGAGGAATTAGCAACAGTGGAAAAGCTTAAGAAATGATCCCACATATAGCTCTCTCTAGAAATCATCTGATTCTCCAACGGACCTCGTGTGTGTGTGTGTGTGTGTGTGTGTGTGTGTGTGTGTGTGTGTGTGTGTAATACTTTCAGGCAAGGGAGAAAACGGGAACAAAGAAAAAGAAGGCAAGAGAGTCAAGAGATGCAAATATTTCAGGCTTTTTAAGAGCACCAAAGTTTTCTTTCTCTCCGTAGGAACTAGCTGCTTGATGCTGATTGTGTGTGATATGTGAACAGGAGCCTGCCAATCTCAGGGTCCCCTGTGCATCTGCAGGACTGAATCTCCCTGTGCCCGCTTTAATGAGACCCAGGGCAACTGCAGCTTCCACTGTGCCCAGCATCCCAGGCAAGCTCAGAGAGGCCATTCTTCTCTGGCACTAATTTGTTTGCTTAAGCATGAATATTGGTGTCAGAAGCACTTAGTGCAAAGTGCCCCTTTTGGGGGTGAAACAGTCATTGCCAGTCTGTGTGTCTGGGAATTCATTATTCCTGTTTATTGGGGGGCAGGGTTGTGTAAATCTTATGTTTCCCAACACAACTAAAAAGTGTAAAATGCAGAAACCAAGAAACAAACACCCCACTACTTACAAAATCATCTTTCTAAGGAGTGAGTCCAACTGAAAATTTCACTGATTTGCCCAAGGGGTGTTTTCTGAAGAACCATAAAATGGCTCTCGTATGGAACATCCGTCTGGCCTCTTTTCTTGTGTGGGACATATCCTCTTGGTTCCCTTAGCTCTGCCTCAGAAATGAGGAAAACGGAAGTTATTGTATACCCAGCCTTGCACAAATCAAATGTGCTTAATTAGTGGAAGTTCTGCTTGTAGGGAGAGAATTTGATTTTAATCGGGGTCTTTCTTTCAGAGATGAGAACGCATTGTGGCAGACAGTGGGCTTTCTCTTGTCTTTCTTGCCATGGTGGGATGAATGTAAACAGAACCGAAAGGTCTCCCACCCCTATGACCAGGACGGCCAA